CAAATAGGACATCTCAATGCCTTAGGGACAAAAGAAGATTTAAGTTCACATGAAGAAACAAGAAAGAGTGGCTCAAATAAATGACCAAGATAAAGACCCAGAAAACATTTCTGAAGAAGAAAAGGTAATGGAACTACCTGAGAATGCATTCAAAAGAATGAATGGACCTTCAATGGACTGACAGAAAGATCAAGGAAGGCAAGTTGTTGTTAAGTGCTGTTGAGTCAGTTCTGACCCATAACGACCCTGTGTATGGTTTCTGAGGAGCAGCTGGTGATCTTGAACTGCCGACCTTGCAGATTAAGTCAACTCTGTGGTCCAGCTAAGTCGACTTTGTGGTCCAGCACATTAACCCACAGTGCCCCAACAGGACTCCAGAAAAGCAAGCAGAACACAGAAAACCCCCAAAAAACTTTAGATACATTTGTTGTTGTTGTTGTTAAGTGCCATCGAGTCGGGTCCGACCCATAGCGACCCTGTAGGGAAACCTATAAGAACAAATAACAAAATAAATGAAACATTTGAAACAATACAAAGCCTGCAAATAGAAATCCAGAAGATTAATACCATGATCTCAGAAATGGACAATACATCAAAAGTGCAAAGAAGTAGATTCAAAGCTATGGAAGCCCAAATAGTCAGCTTGAAAAGAAAACTATAATTATTAGTAATCTAGAAGTAGAACACAGAAAAAACTTTGGTAATATTTAGGAAAACCTATAAGAACAAAGGGCAAAATAAATAATCTGAAGCAATACAAAGACTGCAAACAGAAATCCAGAAGGTTAATACTATGATCTTGGAAACTGACAATACATTTGAAAGGGCAAAGGAGTAGATTCAAAAGCTAGAAGTACAATCAGAAAAAATGAAAGAAAAATCCAAAGAAAACCTAAAATTTATGTGGGACAACATGAAGAGGAATACTGGATGAACAGAATTTCAGAATTGGAAGAGACAAAGAAAAGAACTGGAAAAAATAGTCTAAGAGCTGTTGGAAGAAAACTTCCCTAACATCATGAAAGATGAGAAGATAAGCATTCAAGAAACTGAGCAAACCACAAACAGGATAGACCCCCCCAAAAGAAAACCACCATGGCATATCATAATCAAACTGTTTAAAATCAAAGACAAGGAAAGGATACTGAGAGCAGCTCAGGAAAACATGAAAAGTTACATACAATGGAGAACCAATAAGATTAAGCTCTGATTTCTCAGCAGAAACCAGGCAGGTAAAAAGGCAATGGAAACATAAACAAAACTTTGAAGGGAAAAAATTGCCAACCAAGAAGCATATCCAGTAGTTTAAATTATTATATATTCCTGAGTATTTTTGTATACATCCCCACCCTGCCAGGAAACCCCAGAGGGGATGGAAGCAAATACTGTTGAATGATGATTCAAGGAAGAGATTGTAATCATTGCAATGAAACAATGGTGTAAAGCCAGTGTTCTCCCATGTAAACTATCACTCAGTTCACACACACACACACACAAAATCATACCCATTAAACCTGTCCCTCAAATACAACACTGAATCTGGAACATTTCCATGTACACTGACTTTACAAAAAATACTAAAAGGAGTCCTTTGGGCTGAGAATCAACAACAGATAACAACTTGAGACTAACATACAGAGCAGCACTAGTCAAAATTAAATCCAGATATAGAAGTATTCAAAGTAAAATAAATCTACAAGATTGAAAATAGAGGACTAGAGATATCAATTTATAATGAAGTCAACTATAAAGCAAAAGGAGGGAAAAGTATAGACACAGAAATTCCAAGTGGTAAAGAAATCCAACAGATTTTGAGATAAAACAGATGTTTCAAATGGGGAAAAATTAATAAATAACAGGGTAACCTCAATGAAAGTCAATACACCTTTTCACATCTGAATTAAAAAGAGGAAATTCAGAAAGATTTAGTCAACATTAAAACGAAAAAAAAAAAAGAAAGTCTAAAGGAAAACCATAAACCAAATGAACTCAGCGCAGAACATTCTGTGGAAGAAAGAAACCAGCAGTACCACAAGAAAACACACAGCAAAATTACAGCAATCAATTCACACCTATCAAAGAATGATTATGAGAGAAAGAGACAAGAGAGTAGGTAAACAAACAAAAACACACACACAAGAAAACAAAAAGGATAAAAAGAAAGTAACAGTGATTGGGAAAGACAAGAAAAAAAAAGAAAGGATAGAAAGTTAAGAAGGAGAAGAAAGAATAAACAAAAACAATGAAAGGAAAGTTCAGGTCAGGTGCCAGAACTAGAAGGGAGAAGATTGTGGAGTCTCCTGCCAGGCAAGGACCTCACATTGTGGGTGGGTATGGAATGAGATGGTAAAACTCTCATTCCTGGATGGAATTTCTGTAGAGTAGTTGTCTGTTCTGCACACCCAACCTGGAAGTAGTTTGTGAAAACTCAAAGCAGTTTTCTGTCTCAAAGGGAAGCTGAGGACTGAGAGGTCTTACCAGTCCAGGGCTGGTCAGAGCCAACTATGTTGGTCTGGGGCAGGTCACACCTGATTCCAGTTGCTGGGGTTGGTACTGCTAGCTCCCCACTCACTTTAACACCACTCCAACTGCTCAGAGAGCAGAAACATTGCTGGAAGTGAGTGCAGCTATATCTCTATGCCACCTTCTGCCCTCTTGCCGTCAAAGCCATCTAGTAAAGTTCATCATGGCCATGGTATGCCTGTCACATCAGCTCAAATCACCAATCTCTTTTTCTCCTGACATTATTTGTTCAGCTACCTCTCTAATTAGGGCCCATCCCTGGCTGGTCAGGGCCAATCATCTAGACCTGGAGCAGGGCTTGCCTGACTCCAATGACTGGGGCTGGTGTGGAAAGCTATCTCACACGGATGGGGCCCTCAACAGAGGCCTTCACCTTCATGAAGTTCTGACCACTGGAAGAGTGAGAGTTTTGTTGGTGTTGTACTTGGGTGGGGGCCAGTCATGCCTCTGGTCACCAAGGGAGAGTGGGGAATAACAATAATTTAAAAATTACACCTTTACCTCTGCGAACCATGTGGGAAGCCAGAGCCTTCCAAGGCTCATAACTACCTTGAAACCAAACTTGCCTAGCAACAGTAACGTCAGCACTAGAAACTTACTGGTGAATGTACCTGAGCCATTTCGGGGAAAAGGAAATTTATGCGCTAGCCAAACCACAATGACTTGAAGATTTGCCCTATATAAGCTCGGAACTTTTTAATAAACTTTGTCACTTGCCATCAGCATGTGTCCCTTACCTGATCACTGATCCCGGCCTCTCCCTCGAGTAACCCGCAGTCGGAGCAGGACTCCGATAGAACCACCAGTAGGTTTCTGCAATATTTTGTCTTGTCTCTGAAACTTCTCACAAAAGCTTAAGATGGCCGTGCCACATCTGGTAGCCAGCATAGGTCACCGGTCTGTATCCTTTATTGCTGTGTCTGTCTGTTCAGCTATCTCTCCTCGTAAGCATTCAGTCCACTTCTCTAGCCCTTCCTCTGAAACTCTTGTTTCATTTGTTTTTCCTTTGTGGTAGAGGGGCTGGAGAGCCTTACTCCACACTCTGCCATCGTGTTACCTCTTCACAGTTCAAATTGGGTCCCATTTCAAATTAATGATCTGAAAGCTTTGCTGTGTTCTGATGCTATTCATAAGTTCTTCCATGACTAACCATTCAGAAGTTGTCTATCTCTCCTTTTTCCAATTTAGTTTTACTTTGAGAGCTTTACTGGAACCTGTGCTGCATGAGTAACTCTGATGGTATTTAAAATACCAGTGGCTAACTTTCAGCATCACAGCAACATACAAGGCACCACAGTTTAACTAATTGACTAGTAGTGGACTCCAGACCCTGAAATTCTTCAATCATGACATGCTATGCTCTTCCTGGTGTCTCCCCATGTCTTCCCCTTTACCAAAATTACAAAGAGATTACCCTTCACACTATAAACTTTAAAAGGTTAAGATGACCCCTATGACATGACCTCAGCATCCCAAACAGAAGCAGATAGTAAGCCTATGCAAATGGTCAGACCTGAAGTAAAAAACAAAACTGGTTTACACAAATAATATGGTAACAACCCAAGTTTCTGAGCTTGGAAAGTAAGAAGAAAATTATTTTTGAACTGAAATTCCAAATTAGTAGACATAAGTCCAGATCAATAGAGATGTGATTTAAAGTCCCAGGGGATTCTGTTTGGAACTTGTGTCAACCAAGATGATTTCAACTACAAGTTCTGACATAGGAGTTACATAATACTCTTTGTCATCAGTGTTTTATCCAAAGGGGCCAAAAGGTAGGTGTGACAATTACCGTTCTTGTCTCTAATGAGGCTCTCAGGGATTCGGGCCCCAATGGTCACGGAGTCTCCTGTAAATGTCTGCTCTGTGATAACCTCAAACACCTTTCCTGCAGAAAGAGCTAAAACCATGAAGTCCAACTACTCATTATCTCAGGATCTACCCATAGTTACAAAACTTCCCAATCCCCACCACAGAGAGAAGCATTGGGCATTCAGAGAGTTGACAAACACATGATAGATACAGAACCAACCTCCCACAGGTGAGCGTATAGCAGAGGAGACTTTTTGATATTTGCTTATTAATGCATATTGTTCTTTTAGGAACTTCTGCTATTAAATCTTACAGATCTAGGGAGCAATAACATGAGTCATCAACACATTAGCTGGATTTTAAGATAAACCCAATATTAATCTGTTGTTTCTTCTGTCTTTTCATGAGCTACTAAGGCCTGAAGGAATAACTAGGAAATGTTCAAAGGAACAGTTTCCTCACGTTATGTTTTATAGTATCAAAAGGATGATTCAAGTGGGATCACTATCATCAAAGAAGGGGTGGAGTAGGGACTGGGAGAGATTCTGACTGAGCAACCCTGAAAAAGTAAATAAGACCATGGCTGGAGCCTGACTTGTCCCATTTGAACCCTCAGTTCCTAGATTTCTGTTCGATGTCTCTTCTCTGCATCTGTAACTGGAACCATGAGTGGGGCAAACCAGTCGAGTGTCTCTGAGTTCCTCCTCCTGTGGCTCTCCAGGCAGCCCCAGCAGCAGCAGCAGCTCCTCTTCGGGCTCTTCCTGAGCATGTACCTGGTCACAGTCCTGGGAAACCTGCTCATCCTCCTGGCCATCAGCACTGACTCCCGCCTGCACACCCCCATGTACTTCTTCCTCAGCAACCTGTCCTTCGTGGATGTCTGCTTCTCCTCCACTACTGTCCCCAAATTGCTCAACAACCACATCCTTGGGATTCAGTCCATCTCCTTCTCTGGGTGCCTCACACAGCTTTACTTTTTCGTTATGTTTGCCATCATGGACAATTTCCTCCTGGCTGTGATGGCCTATGATCGCTTTGTTGCTGTGTGCCACCCCTTACACTACACAACAAAGATGACCCATCGGCTTTGTGCCCTGTGGGTCAGTGGACCTTGGGTCACTGCCAGTATGCATGCGTTGTTGCATACCCTGATGATATCTCAACTCTCATTCTGTGCAGATAACATAATCCTCCACTTCTTCTGTGATGTGCCTCCTCTCCTGAAGCTCTCCTGCTCTGACACACACATCAATGAGATGATGATTCTTACTGAGGGGTCCCTGATAACGATCACCCCAGTGGTTTGTATCCTGGTTTCCTACATTTGCATCACCTATGCTGTCCTGAGAATCCCATCCACACAGGGAAAATGGAAAGCCTTCTCCACCTGTGGCTCCCACCTGGCTGTGGTTTCCCTCTTCTATGGCACTGTCTTTGCTGTGTATCTCAACCCTTCATCCTCCCACTCAGCTGAGAAAGAAATAGTAGGTACTGTGATGTACACTGTGGTGACCCCCATGCTGAACCCTTACATCTACAGCCTGAGGAACAAGGACATGAAAGGGGCTCTACGAAAACTGATTGGCAGGAGGACAGGATCTATGTGATGAAAGAATCATAGACTAAAAATGTATCTTCAGGTATAGAAATCTTTTCCAATGTACTATAATGAAACAAACTATTTATCAATGTCTGTAAGGAACTTAACACTGAATATGCACCTTAAATACCTATCAATATACTCTGACTTAACTCAACCAGGAATAGATTTCTTGCTTCTTAATCACTCTATCATAAAATAATTTACATAAAGGTTAAGCTTTTCCCTCCTAAATTCTAAGACGGCCAATATTTTCTTATGTTCCTTTTGGAAATGCTCATAATCTCAATCCCAACATGACTTTGTAGAGTGGATTCTGATGCATAGTGAGCTGCTAGGTCAAAGAGAACTGCCCCATAGGTTTGTAAGGCTGAAAATCTTTGCTGATGTAGATTACCACATCTTTCTCCTGTGGCTCAACTGGCGGTTTCCAACTGCAGACTTAGCAGCTGTGCCCCTGGAGCTCCTGAGTCAACAACTGTACCTACTACCCCTGAGTCCAGACAGGCTCATATGGACCTATAGGAACAAGTAGAAATTGTCCTGAGCGTTTCTGAGACTGTAAATCATTACAGGAGCAGACATCAGCATCTTTCTCTCATGGAGTGACTGGTGGGTTTGAACCATCAATCCTACAGTTAGCAGATGAGTTTTTAATCCATGTGCCATCGGAGTTCCTTGACTCTACGACAGTTGAGTTTAATCCAGGATGCCTGTTAGTAGCACCTATGGGACTTTCAACATATACTAATGCTGGCCCACACCTGGAACAACTGAATAAGTATCTCTGCATGGGACCCAACCTTTGATGTTCTTTCCTTCATTTTGTCCTTGAAGATTCCAATGTACATTCTTAGTTGACACTCATGTTGCTTTGAATATCTTTCGTGTTTGTTCTTCAGGAAGTGAGCCTGAATGTTGTGTTAATGTCAGTCCTGTGGCGCTAATTCACATTCCTGTGCCTCACACAGGATCCTCAGAACACATCATCCTTATTAATGTAGGAGTCCTGGTGTGGCGCTGTGGGTTAATGCGCCAGACTGCAAAGCCATTTGAACTGCAAGGTCGGAGGTTCAAACTCACCAGCTTCTCCTTGGAAACCCTACACAAGGCCACTATGGGTCGCAATCGACTCGATGGCACTCAACAACAATAGGAGAGTGTATTCAGCCTTGTAGTTGTTAAGTGCCATTGAATCAATTCTGACTAATTCCGAGCCTCTATAGGTTACGAATCGGGCTACAAGCTTCAAGGTCAGCAGTTCGAAACTACCAGCT